AAATCCCACCACTTTAAGCAGCTCCTGACTCTTCAGTGACCTTCCATGCAGAACCAGCTCTGGGATTTTCCCCCCACTCACTCAACAGTCCTGTTATGTGCATTTTTCCCCCAAAATTGTAATAAAACCTAACTAAAAACTGTAGCTCTTCTCTGCTCTCTCTGCCAAAAGTACCTCAAAGGCCCCTTTTTCTCCTGGCACAGCAAAACAGGGTCCTACATTTCATGTCCCCCCTTTATATTTTGCAAATCCCTGCAATTCAGGAAGTTCTTCCGATGCACAGGGCAACCCTCAGTCTCACTGAGCCATCGCGAGCCCTCCTTGCCCCACAATAGCAATGAAGATGAGGGAACCATTAAAAATTATAATAATTAAACAAGAAAACCCCCAAGCACAGCAAAATTGCAGCCCCTCTGCAGTGCAGCTTGTGGAAGCAAACGAGTCTTTTCTTTTTGCTTCTTTATTATTGCATTATTTTCCCGTTATGGTCAAGGAGCAACAGAGACAACTTGAAGACGGACACGACTCACCCGAGTGATGCAGGGCTGAGTTTTGGGGCATGAGCCCTGTGTAAATCCCATTAAAAGCTCAACGACACATGAGGATTTTTAGCTGGTGAATAACATCCATTCTCCCCCTCCACATTTACGTACAACACGGAGCAGCTTCCAAACGAGATTGTCTCTTACCACAAAATAAATGTATTTCAGTATCTCCAAAGCCAAAATAGTTTTTCTATTTCTACACAGAGAACGCCAGGATGACAAATAGACCGGGGGGAAAATATATCTTAAAAAATAAAGCAAAATGAGTTAGAGACCACAATAATTCGTTCTTAAAGGCAGCAGAACCCTAGGAGTGGTGCTGCATCCCCTAAGCTCATTGCAGGTTCCTGCAGGCCACGATCTTACACTGACACCTCCAACGGGATTAAAACATCCCCCAGATTAGGGCTCCACACGGGAGGAGAATATCCCTCTCCAACGGCATCTGGAGACCCAAAATGGGTCCAAAAGCAGCATTGCAGCCCCCTTGTGCAGATATAAACCAGGCTCCGAGCCCATAGGTGTGGGAAGATCCTTATCCAGGCCTTAATCAGCTGGAGGAGGGAGAGGGCTGGAGGGGCTCCAGCATCACAGCATCAACATAAACCAGCATTTACCACCTTCTCCCTTATTTACAGCTTATGCCACCTCCCCTCTGATGGTGCTTTGCAAAACTGCCCTGGTAAAAGCAGCTTTTGAGCATTATTTTGCTCCCCAAGCAGGCTGGAGCTCCAGAATAGGACAGGGAAACCTTTTTTACCCTCCCTTTGCCAGGGAGTTGCAGGAGGGCCCCAGGCAAGTGCCATGGGGAAAGAGGGAACAGCTTCCCTCCTTTCTCCTGGTTCTTCCTATGCTGGGAGAGAAGATGATTTTTGGAAGGACCAGGGGAAAAGAACCACCCTGAGAGCCCCTGGTGACAGAGGGGTCCCCACAGAGGAGGTGGCATCGGACATGCAGTGTCCACAAAGCCACATCCAGTGGGGACCTGGTGTCCCCCTGCAGCAGGTCTCACCTTGTCCCTCGTATGATCACACAGGGAATCTGCAACGCGATCCTTTATATTCACTTTAAAGCCAGGGGGAAGAACACAGCACTTGAGCACTTTGTTGGGCCAGAGAAAACAGAAAAGATCCAAAACCAGAGCACAGCAGCAAAGCGTTTTCTCTAGCATAACCCAACGGTACAGACACAACCCCTCCCGTACCACGAGGGAATGCAAACAACCCCAAACCAGGGCAACAACCTGCTAGGGACAAAGGAAAAACAGAGAATGCATCAAATATAACAGAAAATGGTTTCGTACATTCAGAGTTTATATTTGGAAAAAG